ACTGTATGCTGCTAAGGACTGATTGCCAGGAGTGTAAGCCACTTGGGAGCTTTTCCTGTTCGTCTGCTAGCAGCTATTCGTATGGTTCCTGTTCGTTTATTTGAAGTGCTAGTGCTACCTTATTCCCTTGTATGCCGTTCGGGAGTTTGGAGCATTCACTTATTGGCGGTTCGTGAGTTTTGGTGTTCTGCAGTAGCTGTGCCTGTATCTCTGGAAAGGGGGCCGATCGCCTAAACGGTTTTTACCCCTTGTGTGCAAAACGGTCCGTTACAATCATCAGCAAAGATGTTAAGTTTATATTCTTCTGAGCCCACTCGAACTCCGTGTATATCTTTACTTTGTCGGATAGCCGAAGCTAAAGGCTCCAAGGCCAAAACATATAACATGGGGGATAGTGGGCACCCTTGTCTTGTGCCATTAGTGATCTTAAAGAAATCTGAGCCAAAACCTAAATTCATAACCTTTGCTGTCGGATTATTGTATAAGGCTTTAACCACTGAGAGAAATACAGGTGGAAATCCGTATACAGTCAGGGTTTCCTGGAGAAAAAGCCAATTCAAACGATCGAAAGCCTTCTCTGCATCTAGAGATAACATAATGCTTTCTAATTTAGATGATTTTAGAATCGAATAAATATCTAAGACTTTCCTTGTATTATCTATCCCTTGTCTGCCTGATACGAATCCCACCTGGTCTGTATGAATTAAGGTTGGCAAAACTGCTTTAATTCTTTCTGCATACACTTTTGCATATATTTTGGCATCTATGTTCAATAAGGAAATAGGGCGAAAATTTTGACATATTGTTGGGGATTTTCCTGGTTTTGGAATAGTAATAATTAGAGCTGATAGGAATTCAGTCGGGAAAAATCCTTTTTCAGTTCCTTCATTAAGAAATTTGGTAAGAGAAGTCACCAATAGATCTTTAAATGTAGTATAATAAAAATCCGAAAATCCATCAGGGCCTGGTGCTTTTCCTTTAGGCATTTCCTTTATTAACTTTAATACTTCTTCCGTAGTAATGGGTGCAATGAGCTGCGTTAATTGATGTTCTTGGATCTTAGGTAGGTGCAGTTTGTCTAAATATTGACGTATTGTAGTTGAAGCTGGTTGTGATGTATTTTTCTGATCTTTCAAATTATATAAAGTTTTGTAATAACTTGCAAATTCGTCGCAGATCTGAGCAGGTTGATATATCTTTTGTCCAGTTTTAGATAATAAATATGGAATTCTAGATTGTGCTTGTTTATTACGCAATTTCTGTGCTAGGAACTTTGTTGCTTTATTGCCCATTGAGTAAGATGTAGCCTTAAGTTTCCCTAGTGCGATGCTAGTTTGTCGAAAATGGATCTTATCAATATCATTTTGCGTATGATGTATTTGCTCTTGTATCTGTGGAGATGGATTAATCTGATTTTGTCTATGTAGATCTTGGAGTTTTTTAAGAAGGTTCAACCAGGCTGTTTGAGTAGTTTTTTTGAGATATGCTGCTCTGCTTATTAAAAGACCTCTTATTACCGATTTGTGGGCAAGCCATAACGTAGTTGAGTTGACATCTTCTAAATTATTGGTGGTAAAATATTGTTGTAATTCGTATTTGATTTGATTTCTAAATTCTAGATCATTTAATAACTCTTCATTTAATCTCCAGGGGCCTTTTTTTATGTATCTGTATTGGTCCATTAATGTGAGTATTACAGGATTATGATCCGATTTTGTAGATATTCCAATCTCACAGGATTTTATTTGTAAAAGATGTGAGCTATACATGAAAAAACCATCTATCCGAGAGTAAGTATTATGAACTTGAGAAAAATGCGTAAATTCTTTAGTATTAGGATGCAGAGTTCTCCAGATATCATAAAGGCCATAAGATATCAATATTTTATTAAAGGTATTACAGCTTTTCTGTAAAAAGGACTTCCTTTTTTTTGAATGCAAAGCGGTTGAATCCAAATTTGGATCTAGGACATGATTAAAATCACCACCAATAATTGTAGTACCTATTTGTAGACTTATTACTTTCTTCATAAGTATTTGCATAAAATTGTTTTGATTCACATTTGGAAAGTATGCATTTACTATAGTATATGTTGAATTATTTATTATGCATACTAAAATAAGAAATCTACCCTGTGGGTCTATATATGTTGTTATCTGTTCAAAAACTAATCTTTGGTTAATCAAAATTGATACCCCTTTAGTCTTATTGGGAGATGTAGCGTGGTACTGAAAAGGGAAATTCTTCAAACTAAAAATAGGATTGGAATTGTGCTTAAAGTGGGTCTCTTGCAGATAAATTATGTCAGCCTTCGAATCTTGAAGTTCTTTAAGTATCATATATCTCTTATCTGGTGCATTTAATCCTCTCACATTATGAGTATATAACTTCATAGCTCAAATCGCGGACATTGAGGAAAAAAAAAAAAAAAAGGCCCTAAATTACATTAAATACCAGTAAATAAAGTATAATACAATAAATTAATCTAAATCTAAGCTTCTCAAAATGACACTTCTTGGAATGGGGGTTAAAGTGGGCGGAGCGGGCCCCTGAGTGACGGCAATATAGAGCTCAACTTCCCTTTTTCTTTCTCTCTCTTCTTCTTTCTCTGCTCTATCTTTCCTACCTTCTTCTCTTCCCTCTTTCTTTCCATCAAAGATTTCCCCTTCTCCTTCCTTTATCCAACTTGAAAATTTATACTATTTGTGACTTTTCATATGTATAAATTTACTACTCTAATGTATTTCCACCTTTAAATTAGATATTATCCTTTCTAAAAATAATATTACTAGAAAAAAAAAGGGAAAGGGATCCCTTAAACATTGCTATGTAGAATACTCTCCAAGAATAAATCCCTATAATAATCCATTAAATTTTTTCATTGAATAACTCTGTTAATATGCTTTTAATTAAATTATTTCAAATCAATAAGCAAATTTTTCAAATATTCATATATGCTTCGGGGGGCGTGGTCGGAAGTCGGACGCTGAGAGCGATGGCGCTGAGAGCGATGGCGTGCACCAGCTAAGCTCGGAAGGCTCCGGCGGTACTACGGGCTCGACTAGCGGCTAAAGGAGAGTGAGTTGACCGACTCTTACTGTTCCTTACTGGTCCCGTACTGACATTATTTACCCCTACTTACCCGGATATAAGATTTAACTTCCTCACGCTTTATGCTTAATGTTTCACGCTACAGAAGCGTATGGTGTAAGTGTAGCGATTCTAATCTGGCTTTTTAACTAGCCTTTATCTTGCGTGAGGGGGGTAAAAAAAAAAAAAAAAAAAAGTTTGGAATAAACAGAAGTGTGACGGCTGATTAAGGCTGATTAAGATACCAACAGTGTTCAAAACCACTGAGAGAGGGAGAGAGAGCAGACCTACAGCTCTATAGGCTTAAAGGTCTATGAAGTGACTTGAGCTGGTGGATTGGAGGTAAATGAGGAATTATGTCTGCTTACCGAGGGAAAAAAGGGTCTGAAGCTAAGGAAATTAAAGACAAAGCGGCTTTTTTTGCCCCAAGAGCAAAGCAAAGTGAGCAGTCTGACAATGCTGAGTCTAATATGGAGGCAGAAGCCACAAGTAATGAAGAGGGAGATCTTATGGAGGCTCCAATTACCCAGAGAGTGCTACAAGTTATGCTGGACAATGCGGTCAGTAAAATGCAAAATACAGTGGCAGATGCAATCACTGACATAAAAAAAAATGTTATAGAGCTGTCTACTCGAACACAGTGCTTAGAGAATAAAACCGAAAATTTACACGCTGTACAGAGTGAGATGGCAGAGCGTATAAACCAAATGGAAGAGAAAATTGCAGCTCAAGAATTTAAAATTATGGATATTGAAGATAGATCACGTCGTAACAATATTCGGCTGAGAGGTGTACCAGAAGAAGTGAGCGGTCAGGAATTGGTGACATATGTTACTGAGATGTTGCAGGTATTATTGCCAGAAACACCAGAAGATGTTTCAGGTATTATTGCCTAAGAAATTCTTAGTAGACCGAATACATAGAGTACCAAAACCACAACAATTACCTCCCTCTACTCCAAGAGACATTATAATGAGGATGCACTTTTTTCACATTAAGGAGCAGATCCTCCGAGCCAACAGGAATAATAAGGAAATTCCAGAGAAGTATAAGGAAGTTCTTATGTTTATGGACTTATCGGCTGAAACTCTAAGACGACGAAGACTATATAAAAATACAGTAGATCAGCTTCGATGCAATAATATCCCTTATCGATGGGGGTACTCAGCTAAACTGATTGTTAGAAAAGAAGGAGAAACAACAACAATATCCACCCCAGCAGAAGGGCTAGAGATATTACGGAAGTGGGGTATCGCTTTAAACGGAACAGACACTACTTCGTTAACTAAGCAGCCTCACAAAGACGGCAGATTACTCAGATCCAAGAAAGTTTGAGAAAGTATCTCTGAAAGAAAATACAAAGGATTTAGGACTAAGGAATTTTAAATCGCAAATTACAGTTAGTTAATAGAATGTGATCTCGTTATTGTCAACTTTACTTTACTTTCATGATGCTCTCTTCTTCCCTTCCTATCAAAAGAGGGGGGAAGGAAGAGAAAAGAGAAGGAAAAGATTTATTTTCCCCTCCTTTTTATTTTTTTTTATTTTTTTATTATTATCTCTCCTTTCTTCTAAGAATTATTATGCAAAATTTATAACCTATATAATATCTACACCTTGGACGTATATGAATTATGTAGTATTAGCAATCACAGATAATTTAGATTACGGATTTATTCATAATATGGACTGTGACAGAACCATCTGTCTGCTGGATTTTTGCCCGTTCGTCTGTTTGTCCCCGTTCGTATGAATGGCTGGTTTCTATAGCCCAGCCATTCGAATGACTCTTTTTCCCGAACAAAACCGCCGAACGAACGGCCACCCAAGTGAGGAGTGTGCTGCAGGTTAACGAAGTGATCACCATTATAACGCTGTGGTTAACCGCAGACACTTCTCAATTAAACCGAACTCAGGGTGGTCGTCGTTCGTATGTCGACCACGAGGCAGCTGCCATTTTAAATCATGCGAACGCTCAGCGGTGTTTGGCTCTATTTCTATGGAACGGAAAACGGACACTTTTTCTGTCGAACACCGCTGAAACAAGGGAACGCCTGGCTGCCTCCACGAAAGCATGCGAACATCGGCCGTTCGGGAGATTGAGAACACGCAAAAGACTTAACCCAGATAGCCCACCCATGGAGTCATTCGTGTACCGAAGGACTGTAAGAACTTTGACTCCATGGCGATTGAACTATGTGTGTGGGACCTGAGCGCTATTCGCCAATAATATGCACTCAGATCCAGGCTATCTGGGGACATGTAATACGAATGGGAAATGTTCAGTTTTCATGTAGTTATGCATTTTTGTGTCTTTTATTATTTCATGCTTAAGATGGCGACTGTCCTTGTCCTGGAGTTAATTGAGTTACTTGGTAATTAACTCCAGGACAGAGGGGAGAGAATCAGAATGCACTGTGGGTAAAATATGTGACTGTGTGTCAGAAATGTCCTGCTATCTGTCTGTACTTTAAGTCTTCCATTTGGTCCCCTAGGGGAGTGTCCACCAGGTGGGAGACCTGCATAAATACGGGCAGGTAGCCCACAGTAAACCCAGATCTTATTTGACCCTCAATGCGGAGCTTCTGTCTCGTTATTGGGGGATTTATTCTTCACGTTTAGAGACTGCTGGATGGAACGAAAGCCGCTTTGGGGATATTATTGTTCGACGGTTCCTAGCAGTTCGTATATTGCCGTTCGGGAGTTTGGAGCCGTTCGTGGATTTCGATCGGGAGATTGCCGCTTCCTCTGCATTTGGTTCGTGGGTTACAGAGTAAGCGAACAGAGACTGTACTGCAGCCGGGGAAGGTTTACTAAACGGCGGTTTGGCTTAAAGACACGGGAGGTGTCTTAACAATTGGTGGCAAGCGACGGGATGAATCCTACAGCACTGGAGGTCAGCTACAAGACATGCAGTACGAGGAATTAAGGCGTGCTACACTTAAGGACATATTGGAACGCCGAGGAAGGTCAGCAAGCAATTTAAAGAAACGGGAGATTATTGCTTTGCTAATGGAGATGGATGCAGCAACGGAAATGGAAAGAGTCAACGTGCCCAGTACCTTGGATTTAACACCCGAGGAAATACAATTCAACCGGGCAGTACAAATAAGGCTGGCACATTTTGGCCCCAACCCCTCAGCTGACATCGTGGTTCGCGTGCAGGCAGCAGTTGCAACACAACAGGCAGCCCGGGAAAGAGGAGCTGCAGCAGCAGAGGTACCGTATGACAATAATGTGGTTGCTAGAAAAAAAGGTACCTTTTGCTGCGTTTAAAAATTTTGTGGAAACAGAGGGAGAGATTGATGGATTTTTGGCAGACTTTGAGAGGCAGTGTGCGCTACATCAGGTACCTGCAGATGAATGGGTCACCATCCTCTCTGGGAAATTATCTGGCCGGGCTAGTGAAGCTTTTCGGGCCATCCCAGAGGAGAAGATCACCAGCTACCGGGCTGTGAAAGAGGCGCTCCTAGCCAGGTATGCAGTGACCCCAGAGGCGTACAGGCGGAGGTTTAGAGAAACCAACAAGCTGGTTGGGGACTCTTATGTGGAATGGGCCTGCAGAGTCCATCGTACCGCAGCCCACTGGATGGCTGGATGCCAAGCGGTAACTGGGGGGGAGGTGTTACAAGTGTTCCTGCTGGAGCACTGTTTTGATAGACTACCTGCTGGGGTCCGGGAATGGGTCAGAGACAGAAAACCCTCTACCCTACCCGAGGCTGCCCGTCTGGCAGACGAATACGCGGATGCCCGCAAGTTGGATGGTACAGCTGCTAAAGCCCCTGCCAGACTGGAATATCGACCAGCAGTAACACCCGCTCCTGCAGTCTACCAACCCCCAGTACACCGTACCCCAGCTGCACCACCAGCTAACAATTATATGCAACCAGCCCGATTTAATGCCCGGGAGTACTCCCAACCCATCCGGTGCTATGGGCGCAAGCAGTTGGGGCACAAGCGTCCTGAGTGCCCCCTGAACAGTGCCAACCAGGCTCAGTCCTGGAGGAGACCAGTTAACGGAAACCAGCGCCCACCTCAGCCTGCTGCTCACTGCCTAGGGCAGGAGGAATTTTGGGGCATTCTGCACGAGGCAGACCCAGTGCAAGCGGCTCACCAGGATAATCGCCAGCAACATCGGCAAACTGTGAAGCTAAATGGCAGAGTGGTGAATGGGCTGAGAGACACAGGAGCCACGATGACACTGCTCCAAAAGAACTTGGTCTCAGAGCATCAACACACTGGAGACACTGTGGCAGTAAGGGTAGCAGGGGGTGCCGTGGTTCGCTTACCTGTTGCCCGAGTACATTTGGATTGGGGAGTGGGCGCTAGGCATGTGGATGTGGGGGTGATGAAGGACTTGCCCGCAGATGTTCTTTTGGGAAACGATTTGGCCCCTTTGGTTTCAGCCTATGCTCCGATGGGCCCTGGAGACGTGAACCCAGTGACCACCCGTGCCCAGACCCGTGCTGCCGGAACCAGCCCACTTGCTGACGAGACCCAGGTAAGATCTCCTTCCCCGACTGATACCCCAGATCAGGTCCCCTTAAGCTGGGATTACCCAGAGGAGTTTGGGAGGGAAACCCGGGCGGATCCGACCCTCCAAAGATACAAGGACAGGGCAGAGGCTGGGGAGGAAGGAATAGATGGGGAACGGTATGAGTGGGTGGGGGACAGGTTGTATAGGATCCCTAAACCTTCCCAGAAGAGTGTTGCCTCTCCGCCGAATCGCCAGTTAGTGGTACCTGCAAAGTACCGGCAGGAGATTCTGCGGATAGGGCATGATGTTCCATTAGCTGGACATCTAGGGTCCCGCCGCACAGCCTATAGGATCTCACAGAATTTCTTTTGGCCAAACTTCAACCAGGCTGTGCGGATGTACTGCAGCACGTGTGACACATGTCAACGGGTAGGAAAGCGGGGGGACCACCCCAAGGCTAGGCTATTATCGATGCCTATTATAGGGGAGCCCTTTGCCCGCATAGCCGTTGACATCGTGGGTCCACTGGCCAGGGCTAGTCCATCAGGTAAGAAATACGTTCTTACCGTGGTGGACTATGCCACCCGCTATCCAGAGGCAGTAGCGCTGTCTAACATAGAGGCAGAGACGGTTGCCGATGCCCTGGTTAGAATTTTTACTAGGGTCGGGTTCCCTAAGGAGATCCTCTCCGACCAGGGAACCCAATTCACCGCTGTGCTCACCCAGCAACTGTGGAAGGTGTGCGGCATTAAGCCGTTACTTAGCTCACCCTACCACCCACAGACTAACGGTCTCTGCGAGCGCTTTAACGGTACCCTCAAACAGATGCTGAGGACCCTTACAGACACTTGCAGAGACTGGGAGAGATTCCTGCCTCATCTATTATTTTCTTATAGAGAGGTGCCCCAGGAATCTACTGGGTTCTCCCCCTTTGAGCTGCTGTATGGGAGAAGGGTCCGCGGACCCCTAGATCTCATTAGAGGCCACTGGGAGGGGGAGACGGAGCAGGAAGGGGCCCCCATAGTGCCATATGTTCTGGAACTCCGGGACCGCATGGAGAAACTGTCCCTGATGGTAAGGGAGAATCTCCAGGCGGCCCAGGGGAGACAGAAGAGATGGTACGATCAGGGTGCCCGACAGCGGGTCTTCCAGGTTGGGCAAAAGGTATTGGTGCTCAAACCCGTGAAGGCCAACAAGATGAGGGCATCTTGGCAGGGCCCGTACAAGGTGGTGGCGCAGATCCGCGACACTACTTACTTGATAGCCAGCTGTGCAGATGAGAGGATCCAGCGGTCCTTTCATGTGAACATGCTGAAAGAGTACCAGGAGAGACCTGAGAATATTGCAGCAGTATGTGCCCCAGCTGCAGATGATTCTGAGAATTTACCCCTTCCAGATCTATTAGAAAGGGATTCCCAGACTGACCTTACTACCCTTGTACAGCTAGGGGACCGGTTGAACCCCACAGAAAGGGTACAGGCGCAGCAATTGTTGTGGGAGAAGCAGGCAACGTTCTCCCAGGAACCAGGTTATACCACCCTAGCTGTGCATAAGGTAGAGACCCCTGGACAGACCCCCTTACGACAGCCCCCCTATCGTATCCCTGAAGCAGTCCGTGAAGGAATGCGGAAGGAGATACAGGAGATGACCCAACTTGGGGTCATCGAGCACTCCGACAGCCCTTGGGCCTCGCCTGTAGTCCTGGTGCCAAAGAAAGATGGGACCACCCGGTTCTGTGTGGACTACAGGCGACTCAACGAGCGGACCACCACCGACGCCTACCCAATGCCCCGGGTAGACGAATTACTAGACCGTATTGCCAGGGGGCGATATCTGACCACCATAGACCTGTGTAAGGGCTACTGGCAGATCCCCCTGGCCGAGGATGCTATCCCCAAGTCGGCATTTGTCACCCCATTTGGCCTGTACCAATTTAAGGTCATGCCTTTTGGGATGAAAAATGCACCGGCTACTTTCCAACGGATGGTGGATAGACTCCTGGATGGCTTCCAAGAATTTGCCTGTGCATACTTGGACGACATTGCGATCTACAGTGGGTCCTGGGAGGAACACCTGGTACATGTAGGGGTAGTGCTGGATAAGATTAGGGCCGCTGGCCTGACGTTGAAGCCAGAAAAGTGTCATCTAGGTATGGCTGAAGTACAGTACCTGGGTCACAGAGTGGGGTGTGGGAGCCAGAGACCGGAGCCAGCCAAGGTAGAGGCAGTGGCTAACTGGCCCACACCTACTACTAAGACCCAGGTATTGGCCTTCTTGGGGACGGCAGGGTACTACAGACGTTTTGTCCCTGACTACAGCGCTATCGCTAAGCCCCTGACAGACCTGACGAAGAAGAACTTGCCTAAGCAGGTCCTGTGGTCTCCGGCTTGTGAAGCTGCGTTCCAGGCACTGAAGCAGGCTCTTGTGAATGCCCCTGTCTTGGCTGCCCCAGTCCCTAACAAACGCTTTCTCGTCCATACAGATGCTTCCATGTATGGACTGGGGCTGTGCTGAGCCAAGTCGGGGAAGATGGAGGAGAGCACCCTGTCGCATATCTCAGCAGAAAGTTGTTACCCAGAGAAGTGAGTTATGCGGCAGTGGAGAAGGAGTGTTTGGCTTTGGTCTGGGCATTGAAAAAGTTAAGCCCCTATTTGTATGGGCAAGAGTTTTCCCTTGTGACTGATCACAACCCACTCGTTTGGCTTAACCGGGTCTCAGGAGACAATGGGAGACTGCTGAGATGGAGCTTGGCCCTACAGCCCTACAATTTTACCATCAGCTACAGACCCGGTAAGCTAAACGGAAACGCAGATGGGTTGTCACGACAAACAGACGTTTCCATCACCTCGTAGTCCGGTCATCC